CACACACACACACACACACACACACACACACACACACACACACACACAATGGAAAGTCTCTGTTCTGTGAAGCAGGGAGGTGTTTTCCATCAGGCAGAAAAGCTCGTAGGGTGACATTTTGGACCGTTGACACTTAGCCAGGCCGTGATAAGTTGTGTCTGTGGAATGTCTCGGCAGGAGTGTGCAGAGATTTTGAACTTTCACCTCATGTGTGCAGCAGCTGAAGTCCAAGTGCTGAGCATTCCTGTGCGTTTGACAACATGCAGAAAGCATTACGGCTCCGATGTGTGCCATATCCCAGATTATCTCACGACTAATCCAGCTGAAAAAGGAGGAACTGAACAGTTGGAACCTGTGATATGAGTCTGTTTTAGATTTAATGCACATTTTGTTTGTTTCTTGCAGGAATTGGATGAAGTTCTGGAGGAATAATCAGGATTCAAACTGCTGTAAAAGGTAAGTTTTTTTATGCATTTAGAAGATTTGAATGTTTTTTTTTTCTGTTGGTTGCTTCAACAAGCTTTGAGCTTCAAGTTTGGGATTAACCTTGTTTCACTGCAGACATTTCAAACCAAACAAGTTCACCTAAGGTGTAATCATTTATTTATTTGTTTATTTAATCTTTWTTTGTCCAGGTAAACTGTTTGAGAACCACTTCTCGTTTACAAACATGACCTGGCCAAGAGGCTGCATGAATGAATAATGAGGTCAGGGTTGGTGTTTTATAGAACAAGCAGTTCTKACAAAGGAAGTCAATTAATACATCTGTGTTTAAATTTCTCCTTCAAGTCAATATGAGACAGGAAATGACCTCATTATTTACAGGAAGTTCTCAACAAGAACAAGCTACTGTTGGAGGATRGGTTCATGTTTTTGATCTGTGCCTGGCATGAGTATGCAAGAATTGTTGGAATTTCTGTTTTCCTCTAGATGAAGAAATGATTTGGGGAGAAGTATTAGTTTGTGGAGAACCGCAGAACCTTTACAGTTCTTGTGCATCCAAACAGACGACCCGTTAGAAGAAGAGAAATTGTGTATTTTGCTGTGGACKTGATTAAAAGTGCACACAGAGCACACTCTGACACTCTCAGCCTTTGGTCCCCAGAGCTCCAGCTGCCCGGAGCTCTAAAGTCACGCTGTCCCCGTCTGACTGAAGGTCCAGCTGGTAGACCGGCCCTTTTCATCCCTTTCCCTTTTATGAGAAAGACAAACAGCTCCTCATCGTCACCGACACTGGAGTGATTGATACCCACACACACACACACACACACACACACACACACACACACACACACACACACACACACACACACACACACACAATATATAGGAGGCATGGTGAGCCTAATGAAGCTGTAAATCATAGTCTAATGAAAATGGACTATGAAGGGGAATCACATCAGAAAAGATCAATGTAGACA